TGGAGTGTGATGATTCTTTTATTTCCTGGTAGGAATGCCAGTGAAGCAAGCACGTCAAATAAAATAATTGAAGAAGAATACTCGTCCGCATCCAGTGAGGAAGAAACTTGTAATAAAGATACTGAAGAAGTCGAAGATATTTGCAGAGCTATCAATGACCGCGAAACGAAGTATGCAGAAAAGAACGAACCCTGCTGACATCCTTACACGAATCAAGAAAACAAGAGAAAGCGAGAGGATGGAAGACAGGTAATTTATAAGCAGACATAATTACTTTGAACGTTTCTCATACCTATTTGATAATAAAACCTCGTTTATTTTGCTATTATCCTTTGAGGAAAAGACCTCTCAAGGAAAGCTGAAAGTCAAGTAAAAAGCTGAAGTCATCTAGGAACTCCCAGGTCACCAGAGAGAAAAAACTGGACAGCTTACTCGAAGCAATCCCCGCCGTTCTTGATGCGGCCCAAAGTGGTGCAGGAGAGCACCAGAAAGCATTAAGAAGCTGGAGGGCAGTTCATGGTCGTGACGTGACAAATTCTTCGTCAGATGAAGACTAGCAATTTATAGGCTTTATGAGTTCTGTTCACGTTATTAATAAATAGACATTAAGCATCACGTTTTTTCTTACCGCAGAGCCTGGCCGGCATAAGCACGTTTTTGTTCTTTCCCTGTAATTTAACTAGTACCTTTTACAAACCTTCTCAGCAAAGACAAAGGTTATTTCATTATTTATCTATTGCTTCTTGAAAAGCTTTTCAACTTCTTTTTACTTTTTTTTCCGTTTGCGTAGCACCAATGTTTGTCTTACTGAATCTCACAAATATCTTGTTTTGTTCTGAATTTCAACGCATTGGTTATGTGCACAGCCTTTTCCAATGTAGAAGAACTAATAGAGAACTTGAATAAAATCCTGTTTTTCCCCACAGAGGAGGGGGTACAGAGTTGGGAAGCAAGTGTTTACATGCAGTGAACAATCTCAGTAGGCACCAACTATATGTTAGCAATACGTACGTGTCCATGCAGAAGGAAAACTTCTCGAAAATAATAACCGTCGTGGTATTCTACATTATATGCTAGCATTCTTAGTCCTTTTATAAATTTAAGGGCGAGCATTTACATTAGTATATTATGAACGCAACTTTTTTATATACCTGCGTTTCAACGGGACGAGATCTTATTCTCGACCACACTGCTCGTCAGTTAAGCTAATAAAACAGGTAGTGTTAACGATATTAATTGTGCAATACCTTAAGTTAAATAAAACAGGTCTACTGAAAGCTGTTTCATTATTTTATTGAATTTTCTGGTCATAACGATGATTCTAGCCTTATTCCGCTGGTTTATGCTAATTCCGCTAGTATATGCCTATTCCGCTCATATGCCGCTAAATCGGAAATGTCTAATTTAAAAAATTGTCTAGTTATTATAAAACGTATATACTTTGGACTTTGGCAGACAGCGTAACTGTACTCCTGAACAAGTTCAACAGGTTTGTTATTTGCCTTGACCTTTTATGTTCTAGAAAAATTG